TATGTGAAATTCCTAAATCTGAGAATTCCCACCCCTTACACGATATGGAACCGTAATAGTCATAGCATCCACAGCATCCTAACATCTAAGAGTTTTAGGTTCTTACAGCTCTGGCTCACATCAGTAGTAATTTTCAGATTAATACCTTTTTCCTATAAAAATAGTAAAAATAGACAATGTGACCAACTAGACAGATTAAACTAAAAATTAAATGAAATTGAGAAATGAGAAGGTATCATTCTCTCTCTGATAGCAAAACTGGAAAACCACCATTATCAGATCAGAGCAAGTGCAAGTGATTCTTCTGAAGTTTCTTTCAGCCTCCAACAATGTGCTGTGCAGTTTCCCTGAGCCAGAGACAATTTCTGTGTGTAACAATGCCCAATGAACGTACCTCCTTATGAACTTATCCTGTCTCCTCTTGAGTCACATGCAACGTCTTAGCATCCAGAACACCACATGCTGAGGAGTTCTACTGCTAGGCACATATCATACAAAGAACTACTTTCTTTGGTTTGAACAAGATTAACTATGCCAATTGTGCACCATCACTGACAGATGTGGGCAGAGATCACAGTGCCACCTCTGTATTGCAGAATACATAACAAACTTTCAAACAGTACTGAGACCTCCAGCATTGTAATTTTTTCAGTGCTGCATCAGATTTTAGGAAGCGCAAATAAAAACCTGCCCATCTGCAAGCTGTATACAAGAATAAGTACTTCATAGTAAGGATTATAGAGTTCTTTTTCAGGTAGCAATTAAAATTCCACTCAAATCAGAAACATGAGGATTTGAAATACATTAGTTCTGCTGACATATTCACCATGCAATAAGTTTGGCAGCAACATCTCAGTAACAAATCCCTCATTCCTAAATCCAGACTTATCAATATATAGAGAAAACCAGATGATCTCAACAGCCAGCCACAAATCTGCGTACACCTTACTGAAGAGACTACTTAATAATGAACATACCAGGAACTAAAACCAAACAAACTAGAAATCCAAATGCAAATCAACAACACCATTTCTAAGCCACAACTAAATTTGAGATGTGAGATGTTTCAAATACCAACAGCTAGGATCTTTGTCATCATCTTTGATGATTACAGTTGTGATTTGATTTTAAACAAATTGATAGAATGCACAGTTTTCCCCAATATTTTAAGTCTTTAAAAGTCATCAGGAAAAAAAAAAACAAAAACACAACAGTTCTGGGGATGAAGCTGTTAAATCTCCAGAATTCTTCCATGCAAGCAACACAGGTATAACCATTCATCTTCTCGTGCTGTACTCAGGAGTGCACTCTCAAATACTCCAGCAAACTAGTTCTGAAAACCTCTGCCATGACCTGGAAGGATGGTGCAAGGAGCATAAACTTACCAGGACTGGAAGATAACTGCTACAAAACACAGATGCAGGGTTGGGCTTTGGTGGTCATTTGGGGTGGTGTTTTTTTTTTGTTTGCTTGTTTTTTGTTTTTTTTTTGCTGCAGTGTTATTGAGGACACACAGCAATCAACACAGAATGAGAAACAAGAAGTACCCATAAAATATCTCTTGGTCCTGCTTAAAAACTAAAAAGCGCAATTTAAAAATATTCTAATTATGGGAATCATATGATTAATTTTGAATTGTACTAAATGACAAACTGGCCCTTCATGCTGTTGGAATAAAGTAGCTACATCATAAGGTACAGCAACCCACATACGTTATTCTACCTCAGTCAAACAATATTCCAACATTTGCACACACCTCTCAAGAGGCAGGACCCACGCAGAGGCTCACAGTTCACATGCATTGTGAAACACAGTTCTAGAAAGACTGTAAGCTGCAAGTTACAAGGTCAACAGGATTATTTCCAAGAAATTCTTGATAATCATCTGATACACCCTCTTATTAGCAGAAAGCTGGAGGTTGTGTTGTATCTTGTACCTTATTCCTCTCCCGTTCTCATGAATCAGTTTCAGAGGAAACAGGCAGGTACTGCAGTCACCACCACTATTCTAGGGAGTGGCACTTTCAATCCAGAAAAGTAAAAGGAACAGTAAGAGTACAAGAAGTTCGTTCAACTGTTCTAAGTATACATTTGAACACTGATACAGAGTTCCTTTCAGAGAAGGACACTTTTTTTTTTTCCAACAATCATCCGCAATTCTTAATTTCTGAAAGATAACTTCCAGTTTGTTTGCATTAAATTATTACATGTTAAAATACCTCTGTTCAGTGCAACACTGGAAGAAAGTCTGTGTGCTAAAATGTGAACAAACACGTTCAAAAGTCAGACTGACCGGTTTTCCACAGGGCCTCTGAAATAGCTGGAAAGTGACCTTAGGCTATGAGTAGCCACATTTGGCCCTGCTGTAACCATCTGCATATCTTAAGGCCAAACGCACGTGTGAACACACTTCCATCTTTTAATTCCACACGAGACTGTAAGCATATGACACAGAATATTCTGTATGCTGGATGTCAAGATTATCAAGTAGAATCACAGTTAGCAATTCTTTACCAAAACTGCATGCTGAGAAACTAAATTGATGATCTGCTGCCTTTTCTGCTGCGCACTGCTAATGAAGTAGTCACAGTGCAATTTTACATGCCTGTTTTATTCTGCAGTGAACATGGATCAATTGATCCCAACTCCTCCTTTTCAATCTACAGTCTCTGTAATTGTGTCATGCACCCAGTGGCGTCAGCACAGCTGTTTATGCCTCATAGAATAAACTGAACAAGGGAAGAGATACACATCCAGAAGAGAAACAAATAATTTTGTTTGTTTACAAGTAAATAAACTTCTGTATTAGGAAGTTTTCATTTCAAGAAGCGAGCAAGCATAAAACACATACGGCTGCATGGAACGTGAGAAGTTCTAACACCAGGAAAAAATAATAATTCTAATGATAAAGAGACTGATTTAAGTCATTTAATAATGGAAAGTTTTCCAGTTGGAAGATAAACCATAGTTAATACAAAACATTTTGAAATGGATTATGGTTAGCTGAAAATCAATGCAGCTCTTACACACTAGTTAAAGTTCCACTACAACAAAAGAAACATTCATATTCAATTTGGTTCCCTTACCACATACACAGCCTGAATGGTTGTTCTAAGTTAAACAAATGAAAACAATGCTAACAGTGAGGAAATAAATCCCTTACAAATTTATCATTTGTTAGAATGATTATTGAAGGATAGAAAAAAAGAACAAACCCAAACACCAAGTCTATGCATTTCAGTGTCTGAAAACTACATACGACTAACACTGCGCTCTGCCGCTATGACTTAAGTTTTCAACTTACACATTTCAGCTAAAGTAAAAAGATTTCTTCTGGATGTATCAAACATTGTACCTCAACTGTAGGTGTACTTTGCTGTGCTTATTTCCAGTTCTCCAATGAAGAGTGATTAAAAAAGGCAGGAAATACTTTTTACTTAAAAAAAAAAAAAGCTAAATCTAGAAGTTTACCAGATGAAAGCAACTACATCTCTGCAATTGAAAATCGGTGATGGAAGACTCAAATGAAGAAAAAAAATAATATAAAGAACAGATAAAAAAACTTAAAATTTATGTTCCAGCTTATTTCCTATAGTCCTCTATTAACCTGGCACATAAGCTTAGTGCTACAGGCATCTACTTTAGTCTTACAGAATTTTTTTTAGTCTTACAGAATTTTTTTTCACATGCCTATAAAACTTTTCCAAATAATAACTAGGGGAGCGTTTCCAATTTCAGATTAAAACATACAAATGATAAGATAGCAAGACATGATATGCTTAAAGCTTTTCTTCTTTAAGAAAAACATATGAGGTTAGAGGAACAAAAACAGTGTACCTAGGATATCACTCTCTCCACAGAAGTTTTCAAACTCTTACATCTAGTGCCCTGACCAAGTCAACAAAGCTAAACCCACTCCAATCAAGTTCCAGGCTCAGAGTCCCCCATTGGATTCTTCGTTATTCAAGTTGAACTAAGAACCGTGAACTGATCAAAGCACAACTGTGCACTTCAAAGTTATGGCAAAATAAACAAGGTATTGTGAAGCTGTTAGTAGCAAATCCACAGTTAAGACTGAACAGAGCTTTTTTTTAAATACAGTAACATCAGTTTGATCACCATTTAATCATTTCCCACTTCACTGTTCAGATGACAAATAGAATTTCAAGTTTCACAACAGAAATATCCAAGCTTCTTAAATTTTAGAGTCTTTTTCCTGCCACCTGCATAATTTTCACTCTCAGTGGATAAGTCAACAGACTTATCTGTATTTAGAGCATCTGAATTCTGGAAGCATTAAAAGCAAATTCCTTTCAAGATCAGCGTATCATCATGGTGACAAAGGAATAAAATGCTATATTTGAACTCTCCTTAAGTCAATGACCTTTCAGTTCTCAAGCCATAGTGTTCTTGAGAACATCATTTTTTTCATCCTGATATATCAGCATCATACTTATCAAAGCCTAAAATAAAAAATATTTCAGATACACTGAAGTATGGGCACTTTGTGGATTTGAAAAAAAAGAATTTGATGTAGAACTGGGTAATCTGCCAGTACAGAAAAGAGCATGTAGATAGCAAGGCATATAAGATGAACAGGGACTGTCAGTAATAACTTCAGTTTTCTTCCCTCCTCCCCACCCCAAGAAATGCACTGTGAATTTAAGTTAGAATGACATTCAAGTGCCTGAAACAACAAAGGCATCAACAGAGAAGGCATTCAATGTGCAGAACCCTTACCTCATTTACAACATGCACAGTATCTTTCTTAAAACTCTACTCAGCAAAACCTAATTAATGATCCTTATCTCAAAATGTTATTCATGTGATTTCTCTATAGAATCTCCTTTTGGTTTTGTTTTGTTTTTTTCTTTTAAATCCTGTTTTCACTTGTTCTTAAGATATTTCAGGCTTCCTCGTAACCAAACATGCAAACTGTATGTTAATTTATAATTACCTGAGTTTCAGGATTCAGAAAGGAGATTATGTACCTCAAACTGAAGACTCCATCAGATTTTCAAAATCAAAACAAAGTCACTGAATGAAATGGAGCCACTGAGAGGCTTAAGTTGGAAAGGACCTTGAAGTGCATCCAGTTCCAACCCCTAACAAGGACAGGGCTGCCACCCATTTGATTGGGCTGCCCAGGGCCTCCAGTCAGCCTGGCCCCAAACACCTCCAGGGATGGGGCACCCACAAAATGCATGCCCCTCATTCAACCTATACCACATGTTCTTTGATGAAACTATTATTTTTTTAAGCGCCAAGCATGCTGACAGGACTTCTAAGAAAACAGATTAATTCAAATGTAGGAAGCAGTAATTCCAAGTAAAAGACACTTCTTTAAAGAAAGGTATAGTCACTGACCTTTGCAATAGCAACTGCTTGTTGAGGATAATACATGGAAGCACCAATACTCATGAAACCTGCAGGATACACCAACTTCTTTATTTTTGATCCTGTTTCGCAAAGAAAAAAATACATTGTCAGAATATATGTTAGCAGACAACTGAATGGCCCCACTCAACTTTTACTTATAAATAACATAATTCTGTTATATAGAGTTTAGCATATCTTCTGTTTAGTCTGACTGATTTTTTAAAAAAAAGTATTACTGGAACACTGACATCTTTCTGTAGTGAAAATTACCTTACTAATACCAGGGAAATCTGGGAACTAACTAACGAAGCACAAACCACAGTTAAGAGATTCTTAAGAGAATTTTATGAACTGATAATTCTTTTCTAAACAAAGAAGAAAAGCTCAGGCAATGAAAGTTTAGGTCAGCATTCTCACAATATATCGCACAGAACAAGAAAAACTCCATATGAAGTTTGTAAGTTACCTTGGTTCACAAGTACTTATGTGTCCATAGCTGCTCTTATGACTAAGTTGTCTTGTTTCATTACAGCAGTTCACAAAAAAATTGAAATATTTTTTAAAACAAAAACTAACAATTAAGCTATATGCCCACAGCTCAATCACCAGGCAAATTCTGAACATTTTAATCAGGGCACAATGCAGTTTAACAAGGAACGTAGATGGGAGCAGGTACGGGAACAAAGCAAGTAGTAAAGCAGAAAAAAAAAAAAAGGGAAATGAGGTCACAAAAGAGACATACTGGAGTCAGGATTCAGTAATTCTGTTTCTCATTGAATAGCCTTTTCTATGTGCAAAGTCATATATATGTCTAGTAACAGTTGGTGTTTTTAGTTATAACAATATAGAAAGGCTTGGGTTGGAAGGGACCTCAAGCTCCAACTAGATAAAAATGAACTCAGATATTTGTGCTACATGGGATTTTAGTTTTTGTTAAACTTAGGACCTTATTTTTCAGATTCAGTCTCAATACTTTTTTTTCCCCCCCACAATCTTGATGTTTTTCATAATTCTGCTACAGACAATTGGAAACTGATATCATTCATAATTGTGTAACTCAAGAAGCAGGAGTTTGAAGAGAAATGTCAAATGGATTAAGACAGAGATCTTGATTGTCATGAAAATGCCCACACCAGAAAAGAAAGCATTATTAAATCTTCTAAGGAGTACAAATATGAATGTATATATTCATAGAATTATTTCCAAATAGCCATGCATATGCTTTATTTCTTCAACACACATGGAGTCTGCTGAGGTGTACTTTTATCTAAAGGGAGTCCTCTCTAGTGTTTCAGTTCTGCAACTTTGTAGTTCCAGTACCAAAAGGTATTCACCTTGTTTTACTTCGTTCCACTACAATACAATATTCCACAACAAATAAAAAATATTTGTTCATAATTAACATTTCTTAACATTTGTAACATTTACATTTATTTCTGTGAAAGTAAAAACATATTCCTTTCTTCAGCTAGTGCGACGAAACTAACTCTGTAACAGTAACTTATGTATGCGATCAGGAACTAAAAAAGATTTTTTGGCTAAGAAAAAAAATAAATTCCTTTCCTACTTTTGTTATATTAATCTAGAATTGAAGTGGATCAAAGGCCAGAGTCCAGTAACAGATACAATATTCATAAACATTAATTAATGGTTATATACACCTTTTACAAGAAGGTTCTGTATAATTTGAAGAGTACTGTAGAAACATGCTTGTACAATTAAATCAGATCTCATGTGTCACACTTAAAAATTAGTAATAAGAAAGAATCCCACAAATAAATGTTTTCTCCCAAATTTTACCATAAGCAGTTCAAAAGGTTCCCACTAACCTCTGGCAAGAAACAATCCAAGAATTCCAGCAAAACCTATCACACCGAGCCTTGGATAAAATCCAGCAGGGGGGTTTTGCAGAAATTCACAGCCCTCTGAAAAGAAGTCAGAGCACAGTGCATTAATGTAATGTGAAAGTGTTTCTGTGATAAGAAATCATCAATATACGCTGGCGATTGTTACAAAACAGAGTTATCAAAACACATTTAACTATCATGCACATTTTAGATCTGCTGGCATAAAATTCAAAGCCTTTGAGATCTTCTCTAGTGACACATGAATGAAACTGAATATTGTATTGTATTTACCAGTTTTCATAGACGATTTTGCCTTTGCTACCAGGCCGTCTGCTTTGCTTTGCTCTTTTGCATGTTGATTATAACCTTTTCAAATTAATGTTTAAAATCCTTTACAAAATAGATTATTGCATTTACATGACGACAAGTATTAGTTTCAGTGAAACACTGTACAAAAAACAAATCACAGATCAAAGGAAGAACATGGCAAAAACAAAGCTCACTCCAAGATGGGAATCTGATGGAAGATGAAAAACCTGCCATTAAAGAGATCAAGACACTGAGACTGTTGAATTCAGGAAGGGAAAAGAGGTGCAGTATCTGAAAGGAGTCCTAGATAGCATCCACGCCCAGTCTCAATGAGACCACATATGATGCTTCCAAAACATTCAAAAATGAACAATAAATTACTTTGAATTAGTTCAAAATTCTTAGGAGATTCAAGGAAATAAACCAGTACAAGATAAATTTCAGTTACTGGGCTGAGTCAAGCAAATATTAATATATTATGCTTGGTTTAGGTTGGGAATACTTTGTCAGTTTTTTCTTCCTTATGTGCCATTCTTAATGCTATTGGTTATGATAGATGCAGATCTCAGACTCTAGCTGTTTAGAAAAGGAAATTTAAATTGATCTACTGTGCACAGAAAAGTAGTCTCAAGTGGATTAAGAAAACCATACGCAATGATTCTTAGTGAAATTCCCTTCTGATGATAGGTACAGTACAGTCCTACATTTTAAATTGCTAGTTAAGAAAACTAAACTGATTTACCTCTACCATGCTCAACAGCTTTTTCTAATTTGGGCATAGCTTTGGCATAAAGATCCTAAAAAAAAAAGAAAAGAAAAGAAAACAATGGTAAATAGATACCAATTAGATGAAACACTAACTAACTATAGATTTTCACTGAAAAAAAAAAGAACAAAAAACTGTTGGGTCCCTAATGGAGCCTCCTGGTTAAACTAACTATAATGCCTTGGTAGTTTTGGACCTGTAAAACCTACCTGTAGATCTTTTTATTCAATAAAAAATAGAGGAAAAAAAAAACATGCATTGTTTTTATAATAACACACAAAGCCAGCAAAGAAACCAAGGAAAAATGGAACAATTTCACAGTTTCAATTTTACCCATCTTAAGAAAGCTACTTATTTTTATTCCCACTTCTCCATTCACTTATTGTGGGGTTAAGCTAGCATACATATTTTTTCCTCCAAGTGGTCTTTGGATGGAGATTACACACGGTATCTCAAAACATAGGAGTCTTCTTCAATATTTCACTGATTTCCTGATCACATATCCAAATTATTTGGAGAGAGAATTTCAGGTTTCTCAGTGTATGCAGTCATTGCAAAAGCACTTGAGTAAATGCAAAGGAGGCAAGTACAGTACTGCAACAAACTCTTTCCTAGTGCTTTACAGGGGGAGACATAGCTTGTTTTGCAAGGTGATACATTACTCTTTTCAAGAAACTATATCAAACAAAAATGAATTTTTGAGGTGACTTGGAGAAAAGAGATGTTGGTACACTGTCCTAAGTAGATTGAAGGGCACCTTATCAAAGCAAGGTTTTTCTTGGACTGAAAATATACAAGACATAACAGACATGCAGATATAGATATATATACACATACACACACGCAGAGTTCACATCATGTTTTATCAAATAAAAAAAAACTGAGTAAGAATAGCCTTGCTAATTGCTATTAAGTGAAATATTAATATTAACAAGTTAGACAGTATAAGACTATTCATTAATTAGGGAACAGGTTCATTAACATGTATGCCCAAAGCTAAAGAAGAGAATGGTCTTGCAACACTGCTTGAGCTCTATCTGTGGAACAGCATTTGTTTGAGATACTGCACATGGATATCATCTTTAGAAGAACTTCCATTTCCTCACTGCCAACAGTGACCTAACAAAAACTTGTGGAAAAAAAAAAAAAAAAGAGGTGTTAGCATGTGACACACAACAAACTTAAATGGGTGTTGTTATTAAAAGCCAGTGAAGAAAACAACAAACACACAATGTTCTAAGGACCACATAGGCTAAGCAACTCTGATCTATCACAGCTCACACAAAACCGGTTCATTTCTGTATCTGTGTTTTGAATTGTTTCCCATAGGGTTAAGCAAGTAATTTTAGAAAAGTAAAATTATGAATATAATCAATTTCCTCGATAATGTGGGTTGTGTTTTTAAAGGCAATTGTGAGATAACTAAAAGATGATTTTCTTTAGCATATCTAGGGTAAAAACCCAAATTAACTCTGACTATGGTTAAGCAAGCAAGATGATCCCAGGCCCATACAGGCTACATGTTCTCTTCATAGAATGAGTCAGTAAACCACTGCCAGGAAATGGTTTGTTGTATGTAAACAGAACAGCATGTTTTATGTACATGACCACCATCCAGTCAAAAAAAAAAAAAAAAGCAAATGAGAAGACATCAGGCCAGCAAGACACAAAGCAGTGTTCAGAGCTTACGAGCAATCACTCTAATCAGCCAACTCAATTTATCTCAAATTTCACCTCAGAATTACCACAGGTAACCCAAGAGGGAATTAGAGGCCAGAACTCTAACTAAATTAGAGAACTCTAAACAGAGAGTCACCCATCATCTTCAAAACTGGAGGTAGCACTTCTATTTGATGATGGCACTTTAGAAACGCATCACTAGTCTTAGAAACTCTGAATATTTCTGCAAAATGTTTTGGTACATTAACAGTCAGTACCACAACAGAGAACGTCTAGGTAGGAAGGACACCCTGATCTGAACATTTTGGCTGTTTATGCAGAACATGAGAAACAGTTTGCAGCTTAACAAGAGGATTCACAGCTGTGAGTTTGCAAAGCAGAGAAACACGTACAGCGGCCAAGAGGCAACCAGATGACAAGGATGCCCTTGCTTCAGAAGTAACCTTCAACACTCCCTGGACCATCATACAGCTCAGTACTCTAATATCAATAACTTAAACCTTCATTACAAAGATCTTTGCTATCAGCTTTGCTCCAATGACTACTCTTGTATTGCATGAATGTTTATTATAAACATGATGCCTAACCAAAATATAAAAGCTAGTTTCAGGGTAAGGCCCAGAGGCCAGGTTTGATGCTGAGTAGCAGCTAAGGGATTTTTGCTCTTCTGGAGAGCCAAGTTCCTGCTCTCAATATTCCAGTTCAGTAAATACTGATTTTTAAAACTTTTTTTTTTTCTTTCTGTTTTTACAAAGTTGTAATGTGTCATAGTTGCAATGAGGGCAATTCAGTACAGCTGCCTGCAAAACACACCGCTTGAGCATGCAAAATACCAATTTATCATTCTGCTGTCCTAGTGAATCACAGGACAGTACCAAATCCAGATATATCACAACTTGTGATATAATAAGCTTCCAAACTTCTATATAAGAGAATGGGCAGCTAATTAATTGTACTAAACAAAATGTTCAGGTTTTATTAGCAAGTCTAAAGGCCTACTATAAAAGAGCAAACATGATTTTACATTATTAATGTACTTGACCAGATTTTTAGTTAAAAAGATTAGTTTCCAGTATCTAGTTTTATCACTGAGGTGAGAGCACCTCAAAAACCTTTGTAATGCTCTCTGCACAGAAAGTTCCCTTTACAGATAATGCTACCCTAAAATAAGTAAATAAATCATTTTACAAACATTAGAAAGTAAACTTTAAAAAAAAAACAACTCCAAAACAGCAAGTTTTCCTGTTGTAAGTAAATAAAACTTAGGAGATTTGTTTGTGGAGACATCAGCACTTTCAACAATAACAATTGATTCTCGGTTTATGAAGTTGATCATCAGCCTCTCAAGTAACTCTGTTCCCTTATAACTATTCCATGAAAGTTAACGCAGAATATTACAGACAGTAATTCTAAGCTTTAGCCAGTCAATTTTTTGGAGCAGAACGTATGAAAAAGTAGGGGATTAATTAACAGAAAGAAAAAATAGGTTGTGTGATAAGGAATAAACACAGGCTAGCTTGTGGAAAATACTAAGATATGCAGCATTTTGAAAAAAATAGTTGCATAGATGTTATTTTCTTCCTAAAAATGCTTTGTTGCTATCTATTAATTCCGTGCCTAAAACCAGAACCCAACCTCCACCCTTACCACCAAAGCACTACCAGATGCAACACAAGACCACGATACCTGACACCAGGCTGTGTATGGCTCCATAGCATGCCGTAACTGTGAAACCCCCTCCTCCAATTGGGTTTGTGGATTCTCCACATATTTAGTCTCACGAGCTGGAGAGGAGTAGAGTGACAGCTGTGAATATTAGCAAAGAAGAGGTTAAAAACAAAGGTGTAACTGTAAATAAGTTCTTACAGTACAAACAGTCTAACCAGAGAACATCTAACATGGTGGTTACTATATGAACAATGTGCAATAAAAATTCAGGTACAGCTCTGAGACAACCATTATGAACACAGTTTAATTATACATGTGATGAAGATGACTTCTAATTGCTATGCAATTCATCCATAGTTGCTATATGATTCCAGTCACAAGTTATAGATTAATATTAAACTAGTCAATAAGAATACAAAACGTAATAGTGAAAAATGATTCTGGTCTTAATCAGCACCTCTGGTTCCCAGTTAATACACTCTGAAATCACAGTTGATAATTTTCTATATTTGCACAAGCCATCATTAAAGAGTTTTAGTTGTTTCTAACATGGGTAACATCCAATACAAATTTGGCTATTACTGAGCAGGAAAATGGTGCTACATCCCAACGCTGCAGTCATTAATCACATCAGCAACTGTCAGAATTAATAGCACCACACGTCTGAGCAAATAGAAATCTGAAGAGTAGTGAGCATCCTCACATGGTAGATTCAGAAACACAGTGTTGAGAGTTTTGCATCACAACGTATTTATTACAGTCACCTTAACACATTCAAGACTGTAGCACTCCATTGAAAGACCAAAGTCTATTCTCCCAGCAGTAAAGTTCAGATCAAAACAAAAACTGTTCCTGTTCCTAGTGGTTTATACACTGCACAAATGTTTACAGTGAGATATTTTTATTTTATACCACATTTGCTTTGGTAGTTTATTCTCAGCTAACATTAAGCAGCATAGCTAGCATCATTTCAAGTTGGAAAACAATGCCATCTCTTTCATAACTAACCTTAGTAGGATACAATCTGACAATTCGTGCAATTGGATTTCCCATAATATTTTAAAAGACAAACATCTTAAGTTTCATTTCCTCGGGAAATGCGGTCATCTCTTGCTATCATACTCAAAACCATTCTAACTTTGACCCCAACAGAAACCCCAATGGACGTGCCTGACAGCAGAACAGAAGTCTCAGAGAGAATGAAATTCCCATACATTTTATGAAACTGGACAGCTGCCTAGTTTGAAATGAACATAGGCTGTGAATGCCCAGGACAGCAGCCAGAAACCCAGAGCTGCACATTCTGCTCTGCTGCTGGTTGGCAAGCCAGTGACTCAGCACATACGTAATGTCAGCTTGCTGCCTCATCACTGAGTCACACCAGTGTGGCACGGGGCACGCAGAGGCCCAGGCTATGATCACCAACATGAAGTCAGGAGGCTGCTTCAGCTGCTCCTCTCAGACTGCCCATGGGAGCTGCTGATGCAGATGCACACAGATGATCCACGCACACACATATATGTTATGCTTTGTTTTACTGCTCATGGAACACTTAAGCTTGGGTTGAAGTACTTAATATTTTAAGGTAGCCATAAAGCTATATTTGGTTATGAACTACAAAAATACACCTTCTCGATGTTGGAGGCTGTTCCAAGCCTATGCAACGATGCCAGTGAATAGTTACACAACTGCTTAACAGTGTGTTCTAGATCTCTCCTTACGAAACAGCCAAAACATCTGTAACACTTTAGAGAAGAAATAAAGCAGCAGGTAGTTATTATCATTACTTTTCATGTTAGTTGTTAGTTACGCCTGAATGCTGCGAGGCAGGGAAAATGGGTATAATTCCAGGCATAGACAGTCTAGCCTGTAGGCTACGATGACCAGGACTAAACTTCACCAAGAAAAAATTTCACCTGAAAAAAAGAGAATAAACTACTGTGTTTTTAAAAACAAAATCTTTTGATTTTCCTGTTTTATTGGAAAACACAAATGAAATTTTATTACAGTTTTCCAACACTGTTTATTCATACTTGTACATATGGTGTTACTTAGATTAAAAACAGTCCTGTGGATTTTAAACATGACCACAGTAAGACTACAAATGGGAAAAGGTAATTTCTGAATGAAGAAGAGAAGGCTTCAACACAAAAAAGACTTGCACACAGACAAGTCTATGCTGTCAAGCAGAGAGCATCAGATGCAGCCCTGGGTAAAAGAAGCACAGTCACATCAATGCCTCTAATGCTGAAAACTGAGAAGCAAGTTTAAAGGTAGGAATACAAAACGTAAAGAGAAGTACCTAAATAAGTTTTACACATCAAAGTATAACATCTTTCAGAATGCTGCAGGTTTTCTGTATAGATAGAATGCTAGCTGCTCTAACCATACTTACCTCATCAATTTTCAGCAACTCTTTTTTGGATGTTTCCTTCTCTGAAGCAGCAGCATAAACCTGGATAGAAAGCAAGCTCAGGCTTACTGGGGTGGCCCCCAGCCGAATTACCTAGAAACATTAGGAGAAGACAAACATATCTGTAAGTTCAAACAGAATGCAAACATGTTTGAATACATCCCACCCATGTAGACCATATACATGGCCCAGTAGATGATAAACAACAAATTAACATGGAAGTCAGGAGAGAGGGGGAAGTCAGCAGTGCAGTATCTAATGCTGTCAGGCACCCATGTGATAACATCTCGAATATTAGGATGGTATTTAGAAAAGCCTAGCACTAAAGGAACTATAAAAGCTTCCATCTCACAAAAGATCTTCTGTTTTCTCCCACATTTGTCAACCTTGTCAGTATAAATCCTAAGAATATGAGCGTCTCCAGGAATGGGGCACCACAGCTACTCTGGTGAAGCACTGGCACAGGTTGCCCACAGAAGTGGTGAATGTCCCATATCCCTGGAGACACTTAAGGTCAGGCTGGATTGGGCTCTGAACACTCTGATCTAGCTTCTGGTGTCCCTGTTCATTGCAGGGGACTAGATGACCTTTAAGGTCCCTTCCAACTCAAACAATTCTCTGATTCCCAGAGAAAATTTTCCCCAACATTTAACTAAATCTTCCCTCTTTTAGCTTGAAATCACACCCCCTTATCTTATCACTATCTACCCACCTAAAAAGTTGATTTCCCTCCTCCTTATAAGCTCCCCTTAAATACTGGAAGGCCACAGTGAGGTCGCCCTTGAGCCTTCTCTCCAGCTCTCTCAGCCTGCCTTTGTAGGAGAGATGTGACTGAGTTTGAATACCTCAGATTCAAGCCACACAACACAACCACCTCAATGAAGGTGAACATAATTCTTCCTACATTCTTGACCTGAATTGCATTTCTTTACAGAAGAGAACACTTTAACAACAACAACAAAATAGAAGATAAAAATATTGGCCATGTAATGAAACAAGAATGTGCATTTTCCAACAGACACATCTCCTTATTAACAGCAATGCTTTACTCAATAAATGCAGTTCAACAGGAAACCTTTCAGTGGCTCATGCTCTCATTTCTGCTCTGATAAGCCTGTGCTTTGGTTGTGCAGCAGTTACAGCTAGGCCTTGCTCTGCCCACAGCATCCATTCCCAGCAGTCTTGCTTTGGTGGCGGACGCCTCTACAGTGAGGCAACCATCCTAACCCATTTGGCCAGGTCAGTCCTGCACAGGTGGTCATCAAGTTGAACCTATGAGCATATTTGTGCTGACAAGCACCAGAGGGCCATGCAGCCAGAGAAGGGAGGATAAAGAAGGAGAAGGCAGCACAAGAACCAGGTCATAGGATCGCTTCTCAGAAGAAAAACACGAGGGATCTGATGGATCAAAAGGTATTGAAAAACTTACTTAAAAGTGAAGTTTTTCTCTACTTGTATTTACAGACACATTATTACAGCATTATAATGGAACACCACAAAGACTGGGTCAGCTCTGTTCAGAGCCAAGGAAAGACGGGAGCAATCTGCAGTACGGATGCTTAGAGACTTTTTACATCCTCCCATTAGCCAAGATGCACAAACACCACTAACCATTCATAATTGCAGAACATATTTTCTCATTCTTGCCTTTTTTCACTGCAAAGCTGTTCTCTCACTGAAAAGGCAAAGATTTGAAATGCATTTTCATTCAGAGAAATACGCTTTCAGTAAAATATTACTTCCTGGGATTTTTCAAATACTTAAGAATAAAACGCATGGCTAGAAAAGATATCAAGATACCCATCCACTTTTACCAAAGTGATTTCAAACTAAAAAACAAGTTCAAGGAAAGGCACAGAGACAAGTATCTAAAGTTTAATTCCCAAATATGGGAAAAGTTTGTTATATGAAATAAACACATGCACATTTTTCAAGTAATGTTTCCCCAAGTGTTTACTGTATTAAAATAACAACAAAACCCAGCAACATCACGAAATAATACCAGAATTAATAGCATAATTTGTTTCATCACGATAAACAAATCCAGTCTGCTGCATTACACAGTAAGCAAGGTTCTCCTGCTCCAAACACTACTTATGTTCTAATCGTCACCAGCAGAAGTAACAAGTCCAAAATGCTTCAACATTACCTCAGTTTTCCATATAAGTATGCAAGCCGTGGAGCATAAGGATGGAACAATCCTGATTTCCTCAAAGAGATCTCACTGACCACACAACTACTCACTTAATCATAAGACAGAAGTGCAGGAAGTCTTTGACGGTTTCATATTTACATATTAACCATTAGAAGTCTGAGAGCAAGCTCTCCTTAATGTCTAAGCTACACAGGAATGGCCCTCTATATTGACTATTTCCCAGGATAAATATAAGCAGTAATCTAGTACCATATATACATACAAGCACAATAAATCTCATATTTACCAGTGTGAGAGATGAGCAGTTCTGCCTCCTGCTCCCAAAGCCTACATTTGAACTTCAAATCTTAGCTCTGTATTAACCATGTATTGTCAAACCAACTGGTTTGGTATCACATTTTGGTAGAGCTGTGCCTTCAGTTGGCCTGTCTTACAGCTGTTTAGTTGATACCAAAAAAGTACATTAGGCTCTGTCTGGGTGCTGTGCAGTGCTCTGTATTTACTTTAAAGAAAAAAAAAAGTTTCCGACTGAAGAAATAAACTTTATCTGAAGACACCAGAACACTCCTAAGCAAATTATATCTAAAAATCTGAGTGGAAAAGGAAATCACATTTCAAAAAAATATAAGATATCTCAAGGCGAAAGTGATCATAGAATGGCCTGAGTTGGAAGGGACCTCAAGGATCATGAATTTCAAAGCTCCCCTGCTACATGCAGGGCCACCAACCTCCCCATTTAATACCAGACCAGGCTGCCCATGGCCCCATCCAATCTGGCCTTGAACACCCCCAGGGACAGGGCATCCACAGCCTCTCTGGGC